CCAGGAGTAACCCTACTGTGCACTCCTGCCTGCTGTTCCCGATGTGGACGTACGCACCCCATATCTGAGCTGCTCTCCCCATTCAGGTCTCCAATACTCAGTATGAAGGCAGATGCCAGGAAGCATTGGTGACATTCATGGAGTTTCACCAGTTAGCACCCTGAACCACCATGAGTGAGGACAATCAGTGGCGGGAAGGAAGCTCAACGGTGTGTCTCCTCTGTCACCAGCTAGCAGGTGGACTCTGCAGGTGGCCCACTCTGCCAACCAGCACAACTCCCCCACCTTGGCCCTGGTCACCTCAGAGCTGCTGAGAAGCCAACACTGCAAGGCCTCTGCACATGCTCACACCAACTGGGTGTGGTGGCACATCTGTAATCCCAGTTACACAGCAGGCTAAGGGGCCGGGGTGTTCTCAAGTTCAAGGCCAGACTGGGCAGCACAGTGAGACTATCTCCAAAGAAAAGTACTTGGCAAACACAAGGATACCTATCAATGACAGGCCTCAGCTAGAGCCCTCCTCCCAGCTCGCCTACAAAATGTTGGCAGCCAGAGGTGTATTTACAGCAGCCGCGGCACCACCCTCTAAACCTGCAGACGTGTGGTTGGCTTTGGCACGACAGTCCTGTTTACACTGTCTCCCCTTCAGATGTCTCAGTGTCTAGGACAGAAACAGAATGCCCAGCTTCTCTCCTGGAGGGATCAGAAAGGAGGTGAGGGAAGGGGGTGAGGAAAGGAAGGATAGAAGGATACGGGTAGGAGAAAAGGCAAGAAAGGAGGGGAACAAGGAGAGGAAAGAGGAGAAGAGGGAGGGAGACAGGAGGGCAAGGATCTGCCAAATCACGCCACGGCTCCTTCCAGTTCAGCCAGTTCAAGTGCACAGAGCAGGCTTGCCCCCCAGCCTGGTACTTGGAGCCATCCTTCTGAAGACCTAAGTCATCTAAAACTCAACCCCCACACACTGGCCGATTGCAGCAGAAAACCAGATCTGGAAGGGTTAAAGTAACTGCGGGAGAACTCCAGGGGTCAGGCGTAGTGGAAGGGCTCTCCACGGCAGACAGGTAAACTGAGACTCCACTGCCCCAAGACACCCTCCAGGAAGAGCAGAGTCCTGTACGCCAGCCCCAGCCCCATGAATCCACTGCCCAGCAGAATTGAGGAAGAGGGAAGCTGCAGGCACCCAGTCCATGGGAACTCAGCTACCAAGACGAGGGGCAAGGTGTTTTGGAGCATCTGTGCTCTTGACCAGGGACATCACAAACCACCCGCTTCTCCAGTGCTGCAGGCCTGCCAGGGCCTCTAGATAGTGAGCTGAGCAAGGAAGCCTGGGGCTGAGGAGCCTGACGCCAAACCAAGGGCCAGCAGAGATGCAGCCCCAGGCAGCCCTCGAGCTGAGCCCACAGGCCTGAATCGGAACTCAAGCTCCATGGAAACCATTCCCCAAGGGGCGATGAAGTTTCTAGCACTTGGGGACACTTCAACTGTCCTGGCGTAAGCATGGAGTGCTCAAACTGTGGGAAATGGCTGCGCAGGGCCCAGGGAGCTCCCCAGATGGACATCTCTGGGAGACAACACAGCAGCTCAAGGACAACAGAGGCCTCTCCCTTCTCCACCGCAGATCCCAGAGGCTCTCTTGGAAGTACTGGGGGACAGGGAGGCGGCCAGTGCAGTACTTTTCCACCAGCTCCCCAGTAATGCACAATGGCGCTTTCCAGGCCTCACGACCTGCCATTCTTCAACAGTTAGGTTCAGCTTTCCATATTTTTTTTTCTCTAAAATATACGTCTGATGCCTCCTTTTAATAATTTACCAGGAGAACAAGAAGAGTGAGTAAAGAAATATTTTTATCAACAGAGACCAATGTGGATTTTTAAGGAGAGTCCCCATTTTTTTGGGATACTGACTTCTGGAAATACAAGAAGAGGATCTCGGGGTGTAAGCCTCCAAGCCCCTACTCAGAATCACAAAGACCAAACTGAGAAGCCACCGCAGCAAAGGAACTAGCCCTTGGGCTCACAGGCATCCTTGGGGAGTGTGGCTGTCGACCTCTGCTGGTCAGTGACTGCCTCTCCCAGGCCAGCAGCCCCCCAACAAAGGCCAGCAGGACAACCCGCTGCTCCTGGTGAACCTGAAACTAACTCAAAACCTGTAGCCAGAAAACTGAACACAGCACACAAATTTATCAGTAACTCCATGTTATAAACCAAACCAGACTAGCAAGAAACACACCCCAAATGCTTTCTTCTTTCTTGTTTTCCAAATTTCTTTTAATCAACATATACTTTATAATGATAAAAAAACAATGACAGCTGGGGATGTAGCTCAGTGTAGAGCCATTGTCTGGCATGTGCAAGGCCCTGAGTCATTCCCGGCACCACAAAGAAAAGAAATCACATTCTTTAAAATATTATTTGGACTTAAACAAAAAGATGTCTATCACTCCCCGATAATGCAGGAATTTTAACCTTAAGCTGAGCTACTATGGGTCCGCCAGTGGCCAGTAGCCTGCATACAGGTTCATTAACAAAGGACAGCCAGAAGTTCTACAACACAAAACCTCTAAGGTGATGGCCTGGAGCTCATTTTAAGAAAACAGAAGGAGCCTCAAAAGAGCAGAGCAGTGTCATCAGGAAGGACCAAGGCTCTGTAGCAGGTAGGACCCCAAGTGAGCTCCAGGAAACCTGTTTCCACCTGGAACCTGGAAACCACAAAGAACCAACCTCAGCAGGAGACAGGAAGCCAGAGGAACAGGAATTAAATCACCTGCTGTAGAGGAGCCCAGTCAGTAAGACACAGCCAAAGAGAACCCAGGTCAAGACAGGGGTCCTGGGTCTGGAGTGTCCCCACCACTCAGGTTGTGGTGACCTACTCCTGGCACACTGTGCCTGTCCCATCCATCCTGCCCTACAGAGTCCGTGCTGCTACCAGACACGTTGTGCATGTTATTTACACATCTCTCAAAAGCTCGGAACTGCCTGAATGCATGCTGCAGCCCAACCCTGAGGACATCAAGACCCCCGCCCCCCACCCCAGCCAGGCCAGGTGTCCATGCAGGCTTGCTGAAGACTGCAAAATGTCTAAACCAGGTGTAAGTTAAGGAGTCAGGTGGGATCTGCCTTCCTACTATCCTTCTCTCATTTCATAAAGGAAAGGATACCTGCCACCCGGAATCATATCTTGGCGCACCACCCCAGGAAATAGGAGTCTCTGGGGCACCTCACAAAGACAGACTGATAATATGGCGCCATGCTGCAAAAGGGAACAAATCCTTGTACTAGTCAGGCAGGTCCAAGTCTTCCTTCCAAAAACTGAAGAGCCTAATCAAGTTGTCATGTAATGGTTGATATTTAAAATATATTTTGTGGACTGGGGGTGTAGCTTAGTGGTGGAGTGTGTGCCCAGTATGCACGAGGCCCCAGTTCAATCCCCAGCACCAAAATATAAATACACACACACATGCACAGACATAAAATATGCTCCTAAAAAATCATTCAATGAGGCCAGGATGCAGTGGCGCACACCTGTAATGCCAGCATCTCAGGAGGTTGAGGTAGAATAGTGAGTTCAAAGCCAGCCTCAGCAACTTAGCAAGGCCCAAAGCAACTTGGTGATACTCTGTCTCTAAATAAAATATAAAAAAGGGCTGTGGATATGGCTCATTGGTTAAGTACCCCTGGGTTCAATCCCTGATACCAAAAAAAAAAAAGGGCTGGGATTGTGGCTCAGCGGTAGAGCGCTTGCCTAGCGCAGGCGGGACCTGGGTTCGAACCTCAGCACCACATAAAAAAAATAAGGGCATTGTGTTGTGTTCATCTACACCTAAAAAAATAAATATTCAAAAAAAAATCACTTAATGGTCTCAGTTCAATGAATTAAGCAACACTGCTAGAACAAACTTCTATTCCCATTTAATTATTTATATCCAGAAACGAGAAATGGGGAGGGGGGGAGAAACAACATTAAACCCTGTCTCACTCAAACATGAAATTCACCAAGATACATGAACCAAGGGCAAAACTCTGAAAAGTCCTGCCATGTGATTATGTGATGCGTGCCTAACCAGTCTATATTTTACGTTGACTGACTTGACAAAATTTGTGATGTTATGCTATTTTGATCAATGCATACTACTAATTATAAAGAGAGCCCAATGTAGAAGGAAAATTTCAATACTCAGAACTTAGCAGAAACAAAAATTTTAGATTTTTCAAAATTTATAGATATAAGCATATTTTTGTGGTAGACAAGATTTTGGGATGAAGAATAGAAATGCATTAGGAGATTGTTCCTGCCTGGTCTTGAGTGGTATTTAAAACCCCAGTCATTTAGAATCTATGGCATGCAATTCAAACAGTGATGTTAATAGCTGATTTTCAAACTCTCTGCTGGTATTAGTGCCAGGTAAGAACATTTTTAGTGCATGTTTTTAAACAGAGCTCCCCAGGTCCTGCCACCTATTGTCAAGGTGAGGAGCAATCGCCCTTTCTGCAGGGGAAGCCCCGTTCTCTGAGCGCACATCCCCAGCCCAGCTGCAGGTCCCCAGTTACAATCCCAGCCCCATATTCCATTTTTCTGACCTCACATGAATGTAAAGCTCTTAAAATTAGGAGAATTACCATTTTTTAGTGACAAGCTCACAATGTTCCAATAGTGAAAATTTGCTTCCCTTAAAAATTTGGATTATTTTTATTTTCTACAATTCTTGGACTAACTCATATTCCTACACAGGCTATGGACGAGTCATCCACCCTACCCCAGGCACCTGACTACCCACAGGGGGAAGGACTCAAGGATCGCTCCCTGGGCCCTGTGTGGCCAATCTAGTCTACCACAGTTGCTGTAAACAGGGGCCTCACACAGGAGCCAACAAAGAAGGCGGCCCAAGCGAGGCAGGAACAGTGCTCCAACCTAACACTGTACCTGCTCTCAGCAGGCGCTGGGTGTGTCCATATGTAGCCTGTGTGTCTGTCCTCTGCTCCACAGAGGTCGGGTGGCCTTACCTTGGGGCTGGCTTCTTCGTTGTCTGCTGTGGTTTCAAGTGCCTGAGGTCTCTCTTCTGCAGATGCCTTCTTTACTTTTTTGCTCTTTTTCGCTGTCACTTCGGGACCTTTTCTTTTCTGTTTTGCCATCCTGCTTTGGAGAAAGCACACTGCTAAATCCATAGGGAAAAAGGGGCTTCTGCCATATAATATTTTTAAACAAAGGGGGGAGACTTTCCTACTAATAGACTACAAAGGTATTTCATGAAATATAGTATACAAAAGTAAAAAAAAAAAAAAAGTCAAACTCCTAGTTCATCACCAATTTAACATTTTGGCACACTTCCTTTCTATTTTCTGGGTGTTTTTACTTAGCGTAGCTGCATCATGCACACATTACATATTCTATTTTTTTAATGGCAATCTTTTATTTATTTATTTATTTATTTATTTGTTTGTTATGTGGTGCTGAGGATGAAACCCAGTGCCTCACACATGCTAGGCAAGCACTCTACCACTGAGTTATAGTCCAAGCCCCATCATATTCCATATTTCTGACCTCACATGAATATAAAGCTCTTAAAATTATGAGAAATACCATTTTTTAGTAACAAGATCACAATTTTCCAATGCTGAAAATTTGCTTCCCTTAAAAATCTGGATTATTTTTATTTTCTACAATTCTGGACTAACTCATATTCCTACACAGGCCATGGATGAGTCACCCACCCTACCCCAGGCACCTGACTACCCACAGGGGGAAGGACTCAAGGATCACCAGGAGCCTGGGACATCTCCTCCGACCAGGCCAGTCATAAGGACTTACACAAGAAATATGGGATGTGGGAGGAGAGATGTGCCTTCATGGTCTATTTCCTCAGGCACAGCAGCTAGTTACTCCTGTACAAGAACAGGAGTCCATGAACTGTAAAACCAATTCCCTCCGTGGGATTATGTGATGAGAGAACCAAGAGCAATGGCTGAGGTTGCCGGAGCCTGGAAGCTTCGGAGGGGAAGGAGGAAGTAACCCTGGACCTTGCAGGAAGACGACGGCTGCTACTGGGACCTGAAGTGGAAACCAGACTACCTCCAGGAGGGAGAAGTAGAAACTAGCAGCCCAAAACACCTACCCACATGGAACTCCCATTCTTATGGGGGAGCCAAATACATACTATGTTAAATGCTGAGAACCAGCCAGGCACTAGTGCACGCTTGTAATCCCAGAGGCTTAAGAGGCTGAGACAGGAGGATCACGAGTTCAAAGCCAGCCTCAGCAAAAGCAAGGTGCTAAGCAACTCAGTGAGACCCTGTCTCTAAATAAAAAACATGAAATATGGCTGGGGATGTGGCTCAGTGGTCGAGAGACTCTGGGTTCAATCTCCAATACCCGCCCTCTCCCAAAAAAAAATTGAGAACTGGTATGCAAAAGGGGTGGGTGTCATGGGAAGGTGACCATGTAAACAGGATGATGGGCCTGGAAGCACAGCTCCGTGTAGAGCACTGGCCTTGCTGTGCAAGGCCCTGGGCTCAATCCCCAGATCCACAAAAGAAAGAGGATGATCATAATAAAAAGGGCCAGAAGTAGCGTGTGTCCCCAGAGACCAAGACCAGTTTGGGGGCCAAATACCACTCTATGTGAGAGTAAGCCAGGGGAGCATAAGGTGGAGCTGGGACACAAGGGGAGCCAGCACCAAGGATCTCCGCTCCCATTTGGGTCTGTCACTGATGACAGCACACTGAAAGAATATTACTATTCTGGAGTCAGAAAATTCCAGGCTCCATATTCCTTAATTAAGCCTTATCTTTAAAAAGTATTTGAAGCCAGAGGCTACAAATTTCAATTAACTGTGTAATAAGATATCTTGAAAGAATGAGAGACTGTTGACATAAGGACACTGAAAACACAAAGGATGGCGCCAGCCCATTACCTTGTTAGAGAAAGAAGTTCAGCAAATATTTATACACCAGTTACTATAAAAGTTAAATCTATATTCATTCCGTAAGTTATCATTAAAAACTTTAATCACTAAGTCTATTTGCTAAAAAGAAGAAAAAGATTTTTCCATATTATAGAGTGATCTCTTTAACAGTTCTAAGAGATAACTCATAACTCTGACACTGAATGTTTCTTCTAGAAAATATTTTTCATTTTTGGGCAACTGATTTTCAACAAGGGTGGCCAGGCATTCAAAGAACGATCTCTTCAACAAATAGGACTGTGACAACTAGACAGCCACACAGGAAACAATGACTCTGAAGCCCTACCTCACACCACGCACAAAAATAAACTCAAAATGGACCAAAAACATAAATGTAAGAACTAAAACAAAATTCTTGGAAGAAAACATAGAAATACATCTTTAGGACTTAGACGAGGCAATAGTTTCTCTGTAACATAAGTAGCAAAAAGAAAAAAGTACATAAATTGGACTACAACAAAATTTACAACTTTTGTGCTGCAAAAATGATGCCAGCAAGAAAGTAAAAAAGACAACTTGCAGTCGGAGAGAGAGAGCATTTGTAAATCACACATCTCACAAGACACCTGAATCCAGAATATATGAAGAACTCTTACAACTCAGTAATAAAAGGCAAATAAGCTGGGCACAGTGGCTCACACCTGTAATCCCAGCGGCTCAGGAGGCTGAGGCAGGAGGATTGCAAATGCAAAGCCAGCCTCAATAAAAGCGAGGCACTAAGCAACTCAATAAGACCCTGCCCTAAATAAAAACACAAAATAGGGCTGGGTATGTGGCTCAGTGGCCAAGTGCCCCTGAGTTCAATCCCTGATAGCCCCCTCCAAAGGTTTTTTAGTACACATTGAAGACCTGAAAAGATGCTTCACTTAGGAAATGCAAATAAGATTGTGCTCAGTGGCAGAGCACCTGCCTAGTATGTGTGAGGCACTGGGTTCCATCCTCAGCACCACATACAAATAAATAAATAGATAGATAGATAAATAAATAAAAGTACATCGACAACTAAAAAAATATTAAAAACAACAACAAAAAAAAGAGATACCACTTCACATTCACTAAGTTGCCTATAGTAAAAAAAAAAAAAAAAAAAAAAAGACAGATTGCGATGGCTCAATGTAGAGTGGTTCCCTAGCAGGTGCGGGGTGCTGGGTTCCATCCCAGCACCATAAAATAATGAGTGAGAAAAAGAAATGACACAATAGTAAACATTGGTAAGAATGTAGAAAAACTGAAGCTCTCATTCACTGCTTGTGTAAGTGACAGAGTCACTTTGGAAAACAGTCTGGCAGTTCCTCAAAAAATTAAAAACATGCAATTACCATTTGACTCAGCAATTCCAGTCATAGGTGCATATCCAAAAGAAATAAACAACTCCACATTAAAGTTTGTATTCTATCGTTCCTAGCAATATTACTCATAACAGCCAAAGGTGGGAACAACCTAAATGCCCATCAAATGGATGAGTAGATAAACTATAGGTATTCAGGGTGGAATATTATTCAGCCATAAAAAAGTGAATACTGATACACCTACAAAATGTGTCACCTTAAAACCTGATGCTAAGCGAAAGGAGCCAGATACGAAAGACCACATATTGCACGATTCAACCTGCATGAAGAACTCAGGATAAGCAAAGCAGAGACAGAAAAGGCTAGTGGCTACTCAGGCTATGAGAGAAGTGGCAGTGACTGCTAGTGGGGACAGGGTGTCTTCTGGGAGGAGGAAAATGTTCTAAAGTTAGATTTTGGCGATGGTTGCACAACCCCATGAATACACTAAAAAAACAAAAACAAAAACAAACTATATTCTCTCTCAAATTACCAAAAACTTAAAAATACAATGTTCAAGGGGCTAGGGTTGCGGCTCAGCAGTAGAGCGCTCACCTAGCACATGTGAGGCACTGGGTTCGATCCTCACACCACATAAAAATAAATAAATAAAGGTATTATGTCCAACTACAACTAAAAAAATTATAAATGTTCAAGTACTGTTTAAAAAATAAGAAAGATATAAATGGGGGGAAATGCAAGTAGACGCCTCCTTGTGTCTTTTAAGTGAGCTGTTAGTGGCCAAGGCTGAGCTCACGGCTACAGGACAGCAGAGTAGCCTGCCACCATGGCCCTTGATCATTGCCATTCCCAGTGCCTGAATTAATTTCTGTAGATCAATGAAAACCCAAGATTTCCCTTCTGGTGGTTGGGAGGATTCTGAGGGGTCAAGGATATTAAGGAAGCTAACCCTAACTACCACTTTATGGAATTAGCATTAAGAGACCTCACCAAAGCCAGGCCCTGGCCCAACATGCTCTACACACACCAGCCCACTCACTCCTGTGACCCATGCAGCTGGCATGCAATGCGGAAACAGGCACATCTGCCCATCAGAATAGAAAATCAATAGAGAATGTCTGAAATTGGCCAATAACCACATCACAAGCATATTATTTAGAAACACGGAAGTAGAAACAGTAGAAACAGCTGCAAGATTAAACTGTTCTTGCCTTTAAGGAGCATGAATGGGGGGAGACAAATGATTTCAGTCTACAAGTCATCTAGCACCATGTCAGTCTTCAGTTACATGCATATATGACAGCTAATTTGAAGGTTAAAAAATATTGATTTTAGCTGGGTGTGGTGGCATATGCCCGTAATCCCAGTGACTCGGGAGGCTGAGGCAAGATTGCAAGTTTCAGGCCAGCATCAGCAACTTAGCGAGCCATAAGCAAGTTAGCAAGACCCTATCTCAAAATAAAAAATAAAATGGGCTGGGGATGTGGCTCAGTGGTTGAGTGTCCATGGGTTTAATCCAAAGTACCAAAAAAATAAAATAAAAAGGGCTGGGGCTGTAGTCCAGTGGTAGAGAACCTCTGAGTTCAACCCCCAGTACCAAATAAAAACAAACAAAAATCAATTATTTTCAAAAAAGATTTGTTTTTAAATTATACTGTACAGTATTGGTCAGAGAATAGGAAAAAGGACATTATCATGCCCTGCTAATAGGAGGACAAATTAGTACATCCTTTCTAAAAGGTAATTTTATAACATTTATCAAGTGCTTTGGCCCAGTAATTCCACTGCTAAGAATTCATCCTAATGAAATAATCATGGACAGAGATTTATATGTACATACACGATAATGGCAACACTATCTCTAATATTAAAAAATTGAAAACACCATAATTGTCCAACAGTAGCAGGCCGGGGAAATGAATGACTCCTCCGTGCAAAGGAATATTCCAAAGAAACCATTAACAACTGTGATCTCAAGGAACATCCGTCACGTGGGTAAGTGCTCATAATACAATAAACTGAAAATCAGATATAAATCTATGGAATACAATATGACTCGTTTTGTAAGAAAAATTATAGACAAATGTGCACAAAGGGAAAAAAACTAAAAGGAAATATACTAAAATAGATTCAGATTATAAGAATGTTTATTGTTTTCATATGCTCTTCTGTAATTTCTACAATAAAAGCAAAAGAAAAGAAATTGTTTTAAGACACAGCCCAAAAGCTTCAATTAAGCAATTGAAGGATTCCACCAGTACAAAGCAGATGGGCCAGATTGAACAAGCACAGGACGACCAGACCTGCCTGCCAAGGCACACTGCCAGTGATCAAGACGGCTCAAGCAGGCAAAGCTACAGTCCCCAGGTGGAAAAGCATCTCACAGGACCCTGATGAGATAAATCAGCCTATAGGCAAACACCAGGCACACTTTTATTAAACCTGAAAATACCACCCACAGACCCAGATGACACGGGAGACATCTCAGTTGGTGATGATCTGATGTGGTCGGGACAGGTTCTAGAGGAGACCTCCAAACTACCAGGCAAAGGCCCACCCTGAGCCCACAGAAGGGCGGCCCCCACCCCTGGATTGTGGCTCTGCTCTGACCCATGCCTAGGCCATGCTCTAAACTGCCTGCTTAGATTAGTGGCCTCCTGGCCTCTGCTATTCTGCCCATGAACACTGCTCTGTTGCCTCCCTATCTGAACACTACTATACTACTGCAGTCACTACAAGCCCACCACCATCCTAATGCCAAGCATCCATGACCAATTCCACCTCCTATCTTTCCAGCTGGCACCCTGGAATCCAATAATATTTCAACCTCACCAAGATCTGCAATCCACCAACCCTACTACATTTCAATGTCCTTCACCCATCTGTCTCGCCTCCACAATGTAATTTCCATGGTGTCTCAGTAAATCACTCCCATACACTCCCTTGTGGCTCTCTCTCTTCATGCAAAACCCCACCTCTGGGACCTACTCCGCCTGCCAGTGTACTCTAAGCCTGCAACTCCACACAGCCGGAGAGCCCACAGACTCAGGCTGACCAGTCTCAGTTTAAATTCAGAAGCTCTAAGCTCAAGGGGATGGTCAGTGCTGCACAGTGACTGAACACCTCCCTACTCCACCGACCTCTCTCCAGACTGACTCCTTCCTTCGCCTCTCCTAATCTCACACCTCCAACATCTTCTCTATTCTCAGTGTAGACCTAGTTTCTGATCACTGAGAACACAGAAAAAATCTTTGGGAACTTCCACAAGCTCCCACCACATCACCCATCCAGCCAGCATGCCCATGTTCTTATTAGGCCAACCCTTTAGGTGAGTTGAGTCCTCTCCCCCTTGCCTGTCAAGGCAGCACTTTAAGCAACTGTCCCCTCTCCTGCATCATTAGCTCTTCCCTTCTACTACACCAATTACAACCTCCCCTATCTTATCACGCTCTCCTCTCCACTGGCCCTTCAATGCACACTGCATTTCCCAGGAACTCTAGTCCTCTCTTGCACCCTCTCCCCAGCTCCTTTACCACAATGACACCCATGTGGCTCAGGCTCATTGTTGATATTCAGCAGCATGTGTCAGTTGCTCCCTGCCCTCTCTTGGCATGCATGTTCTTCTTTTCCAGCAGAGACAGCACGCTTTGCTGTTTCTTAATGGCCCTGATCTTGAACTCTGAAGGTTCTGGGCTCTGGGCTTCCTTACTTTCTCTGCTATCTCGCTCAGCCATGTGACTCTAAATACCTGTTAGATGATGATGGCTTCAAGCCTTGTCCAACTGGAGGCTTCTTCTGGGCTCTCTCCCTGTATTACACTGCCAACTCACTCATATAACTACACATACACTTCAACATCTCCCCTGCACACTCAAGACTCACCCATGATACTCAAAGCTCCCGATATCCTCCACAAACCGATCTTCCCAAGGTGTGTGTCCTCTTGATAAACACCATCTAATGAAATCCAGATTTTAGCTGAAGCTACAACCTCGGTGCCACCTACAACTCCTCTTGCTTCCTCACACACTCATCCAACCACCACTAAGCCCTATTGGCTCAAAAGTATCCAAAATTTTACTCTCTCATGGCCTACTACAATTCTCAGTTCTGCCCTTGCCCCTCCAGCTGGTTTCCCATCCAGAACGATTTTAAACACCTAACTGAGATTATATCTCACCTCTGACTGAAAACTTCCCACCACAAGCCAAAGTCCTCCCTGAGAACACAGGGTCCCACATGATCAAACTGCCTCCACCACAACTCCTTCTTTCTCTTTTCTTCGCTTGGCCCTGGGCACACGGGGCTCCTTGCTGGTCCCCCTGCACCTGACATTTCCACTACCTGGACGTTCTTCAAGCTACCAAGGTGTCTCATTCCTTAACCTGCTTCGCCCCTCCACTCTCCATCTCCCTGTCGTAACTTTTCTCCGTGGTTACATATCACCACCTGGTACGTGATCTTTCTCATGTCTCTCTTCTCCCTAGAACTTAGTTCACCAGATCGAGGTTGGTCTGTTTTGTTAACTGCTGTTTCAGCAGTTTCGACACACACGAAGAACACGGTACGTTTTTTAAAATGAATGGATGGATGACAGAAGGAAATGCAATGCATGCTTATGATAGAAGCGCCGAAGAGCCTCAACAGGGGTTCTTAAAGCTCCAATCCGCAAACACTGGGCAAGAAAGGCTGAAGCCCAGTTCCAGCGCGTCCTCCGCTCGCGAGCGCCCGCCCGCCAAGCCTTCCGCAAATCCACGTGGAGAGGACAGCGCACGGGGAGAGGATCTCCAGCGCGGCCCAGATCACAGGCACCCAGAAGCAGCCCCGCGCGTTTACCTGTGCCCACCTGCGCCCACCTGCACGCGCCCTGCAGCAACGCCAATGCCAGCTTCCGGCCGGCCCCGCGCCTCAGGTACACGCCTGTCCCGCCTTCAGCGACTCGGCGCTTCCCATTGGGTAAAGCCTGCCTCGGTCTTCTAGCCGGCCAATGACAAGCGGCGGCCTCACGGGGGCGGTGCCTCCCCGGGCGCGGAATGGTGGCGTCATCTCGCTGAGCCCTAGTTGCTGCGGGAGCGCGAGTTGCCATAGCAACTCGCCCTCTTGCCGACACGTGCAGGCTCTCGGGTGCCGCTTTCTGTTCAGAGTTGGAGCTGGTGAGCTAACTGTGGGCATCCAGATTTTTGCTGAGTTCTTAAATCTCGGGTGCAGAAGTACATGTGTTAAAAAGTAAAAACAAAGAATAGGGAATGCTGCCATGACACCGTGTACCATCTTCAAACGCAGCAAGTTAGGCATTGCGCACAGATGGAGTGCGTTCCGCTCCACTGCGTGCAGGTAGACGCAGACCTACAGGGAGTAGATACGAAATAGGTTAGAACAAATAAAAGGAATAGGTCAGTAATCCCAGCGATTTAGGAGGCGGAGGCAGGAATATGCAAGTTCCAAGCCAGCTGCAGTCATTTATCAACACTTTGTCTGAAAATAAAGCGGGCTGGGAGTATAGCTCAGTGGTAGAGCACCCTGGGTTCAATCCTCAGTATGCCCACCCTCCACTAAAAAAATAAAAATAAAAAAAAAATAAAAAAAAAAAGAAGAAGTGAAAGGAAGGACACGGAAATATAATTTTAATCTTAAATTCCAAGTACTTTTTCAGTCCCGTCACTCCCCAAATTACTTCTTCTAGATCTGTCACTCCCAAATTTTGGGGAAATCTGTAAATCTTAAAAGAGTTATTGGAAATTCACCCAGTTGTGAAAATTACCTTGGACACTGTTCATTAGTTCACATAATGACTAGAACAAGCAAAGAAGAGATACAACATTTTAAGAAACCTATAATTTAGGGGATTATCAACATTATCCACTGATCGGATAATGATACCATGTGAACGACCAGACACCATAAACCACCTTGTGATCATCAGAATGATATCATCCTTACCTTCCCACCCTCACCCCTCACCAAGTTTCTTTGAACCTCAAAAGTGTCTCTGTCTCTTGAGAGGGTCCACATTCTCCCTTGAATGCATCTTTACTTTTTAAAATAAATCTCAGTTGGGAAGTAGCTATAGCAATGAGCAGTGAAATGCAGAGAAAGAGAAGAGAGGGGTGGGGAGAGAGAGAGAGAGAGAGATGAGAGCTCTCTGGCTTAAGCCTCGTTTTGCTTTTACTTTCACTTATAATAATAATATAATCTTGCATGACTTTTGGTGTCTGATTTTAAATTTTCTTTTATAGGAAAACAAGAACCAGGATTTAGAGTTTCAGCTCCTTGCTTTCCTGTGACATCTGTGACTTTGATGCATGCTGAAATTCTTTCCTATCACCTATGTCAAGAACTCCACTCTTGGGGCTGGGGTTGTAGCTCAGTAGTAAAGCGCTTGCCTTGCATATGTGAGGCACTGGGTTGGATCCTCAGCACCACATAAAAATAAATAAAGATACTGTGTGTTTATCTACAACTAAATAAATATTTTTTTGAGAGAGAATTTTTTAATATTTATTTTTTAGTTTTGGGTGGACACAACATCTTTATTTTATTTTTATGTGGTGCTGAGGATCGAACCCAGCACCCCACGCATGCCAGGCAAGTGGCTACCGCTTGAGCCACACCCCCAGCCCTAAATATTTAAAAAAAAAAAACAAAACTCCACTCATCCTAAGTTTAGGACCCCCTCTGGGAATTCCTGGCACCTCTTCTGGTGACAGACACCTGGTGTACCAAGTTTCAGCTTTTAGAAATAATAAGCTAGACGCTTTTGCCATGGGAGGAGAGGGTGATAGCTTGTCAGCCAACTTTTAAGATGAGCTTAGAGGGATGTAATATGTACCAGAAGAAAGGTGGAATCCAGGGGACTTGGGGTGCTAGCACAAGTTAGTGCTCTCTGGTGTCACTTGCTTTGCTGATTAGCTTATGAGTAAATTATAATAAATACCTGGTTTGTCTCCCTTGTGTGCATATAGGAGAGTGTCTACAAGGCACATAGTCAGACTTGCCGAACCACAGGAATCAGCAGGTTGGAGATTCAGTTTTCAAACAGCTCCAACTGGCTCCCAAGAGTGATTGCACTACTCCAGCGAAAGGAAACATTCACCCATACAAGTAATATGTAATAAAATATGAATATATGAAAACACAGTTGTTTTTGCTTATTTAGCTCTGGGAATGTATGGGTAGGCAATGCATTTCAGCTTTTCACTGAGCACAGTTAAAAACTGATCCAAATATAGCCATTTTTTAAAAAAGATTCTGGGACAGGGATATAGCTTAGTGGAACAGCACAGAAAAAAAAAGATTCTGGTTTCATTCCCATATGGGACATCAATAAAAAAAAAAGAAATTCTGTTTTATAGCATCTGAGCGCTAATTGAGCAGTAAAATATTATGAGGCTAATAAACAAAAGAAAAAAGAATCTCAAAGCAGTTGGCCTGACATTTAGGGCAATTTTCACTTAGGGTACAGCCGGTTCTGGAAAAGACAGCAGAAAGCCTGGATATCTGAGCAGGAATTCTGACAGTTTTGTGGGCTGCAGGCCCAGAGTTCAATGCCCTATCTTCAGATTGAGAGCCAGGAAAGCTACACGGTGAGAGTGACTGTGAACTAGAAGTAAACCGACCTCACGGGTCCTCCACTTCAAATTCACCTCAGTGTTGAAATTGCATTGGAAGGATTCAGGAATCATTGCCACTAGACAGTTGAGGGACGAAATGGTGAATTCTAGAAGACAGTCTCTTGGGCCTCAAATTATATTTGCTTATATATTCTGTCCAGCTCCATAGAAAATAGCTATCTGTGCAACAAGACATCACGATAGAAAGCCAAGAAAAACTATGTTGCTGACCTACTCATCTGGCAGTATCATGTCATAGATCATGATAGTTCCAGTCATGTGTTAAGGTGACGTCCAGTGGTCAGTATTGTAGGGGGGCACATGGAGCATCCTCAGTGGTTTGGGATCTTCTGCAGGAGAAGGTTTGGCTTTACTCCAGAACTCAGGGGACTGTTCTGTGACTCTTATTGGGGTTTGCCAAAGATTCCACAGTCTTATCCCCCACATACCTCTCTGGCATCTTGGATCTTCCAAGTTATACAGTCCAAGTTCGAGATAGTTGATACTATAAACCCCACCTGCTACAGAGCCTTCTCTTACCAGGAGACCCAGTCAAAACTCAAAATCAGACTTCCAATTACTCAATACCTGGGTTGTGGCCATATTAAATATGATAAGCAGCCTCCAAAATCTAAAGGGTCCGGGCTGGGACTGTGGCTCAGTAGAGTGGTTGCCTAGCATGAGCGAGGCACTGGGTTCAATTCTCAGCGCCACATAAAAATAAATAAATAAATAAACGTACTGTGTCCATATACATCTAAAAAACTTTCAAAAAAAATCCAAAGGGTCCAAGGAAAGGCAGAACTCTTAGTGTTGGAAGATCATATTTATATTTTATTTCTACATAACAAATGAACCCAAAATTTAGCATCTTAAAAGAACACTCGTATTTCTCAGTCTCTTGGGTCAGGAGCATGGGCATGGCTTAGCTGTGTGCTTCTGCCTCTTGGCTTGTGGTACCACGAGCTGAATAGGGTATCTATCAGGCTGTGCTTTCATCTGAAGGATTGTCTGGGACCATCCCCTCCCAAGTTCACTCAAGTGAATACTGGAAAGAGTCATTCCTCAAAGGTCACACCCCTGTGGCAGTTGGCCTCCCTCAATTCCTTGCTATGTGGCTTCTTCACCAGGCAGTTGATGACATGCCGGTTGGCTTCGTCCAGAGACAGTAAGAAAGAGGGACACAAAGACGTCCAGAGACAGTAAGAAAGAGGGACACAAAGATGCGTGGACTTCCTCTTGGCAAACTAATCTCAGAAGTGACTTCCCATGGCTTCTGCCATATTCTGTCCATGACGTCATCTTACACTCAGAGGGGATTCTCTAGGAGCAGGAAAACCAGGAGGTGGGCATCACCAGGGGCCATATGAGAGCCTGCTGGATCCTGGCGGAAGTGTGATCACTTGGTCCTGGGACATATGGGGGATATTCCAGATCTCTGAAACTTCACTCCTACATCCAACCCCTGGAGCTCAGGGCTTCATATCTTCCTCCCCTGGACATGAGTGTCCTACCTATGCACCCAGAGTACTTGCCACCTGCTCATCACCAGATCTGTTGAGCATGATGTCATCTATACCGTGGATCATTTAAACTCTGTGATGGGGAGCAGGAGAGTTGACACAGCCCCTAGACATGGCAGCAGACGCGATCCTCTGTGCCTCCCACTTGGGTGCAAATGGTTTTTTGTTCTATTTTGATAGGAACAGATCAATAATCACAAAGCTGTGCTGATCTGTTGGAGCAGATGTCGCCAGCACCACAGCTGTAATGAGAGGACTTGAAACAACAGCACTCACCTCAGCCACGTGATCCTCAGGGGCATCCCCTCTGCATCTGCTTCAGCCACATGATTCAGTAGGCACATCCCCAGCACGTGCCTTGGCCACGAGGAGCCACATGATCCTTTGGGCACCTCCAACTGGTGATTTAGTTAATGTTGGAGAGTTTGGAAGAGAAAATGTTGTGAATGTAAAACAACTAAGCAAAACAGAAATAAAAAGGTATTTGTTCTGGGCTGGGGTTGTGGCTCAGTGGTAGAGCGCTCACCTAGCAAGGCCCTGGGTTCCATCCTCAGCACCACCTAAAAATAAATAAATGGAATAAAGGAATTATGTCCAACTACAACTAAAAAATCAAAAATATTTTTAAAAGGTATTGGTTCTAAGGAAAATAAAAATGTTGTAAAGGAAAAGGAAACATGGTATTGCTACAATTGCTCAATTCTATGGCCAAAATAATGTGAATACAGCTTATTTCCCTTTGGGAAAATGGAGCAGGTGCGGGGAAAGGGGAGAGTTTCCAAGAGAGATGCAAGGAAGAGATCAAGTTTCCATTTCCTTTGCAGAAAATTAATAGACATGCCTAAAACTGTAATTCGTGAAGTAGCTAATAATTGTGCTATTTAGAGGTACAAACTGCCTCCAAGGAAAGGAAATGGGTGAAAGGACAAAGGTGGGGTGATTTTTTTTTTTTGGTAATAAAACTTGCAGGGCTATTTGAATGTTTAGTATACCAAAGATCAAAATTAAAATATGTAATAAAGAAAAAAAAGATGGTTAAAATGTTGAGCAGATTGGGAGGCTGAGGCTGGAGGATGGTGAGTCAAAGCCAGCCTCAGCAATTTAGCAAGGCCCTGAACAACTCAGTGAGACCCTGACTCTAAATAAAATATTAAAAAGGGCTGGGATGTGGCCCAGTGGTTAAGGCCCCTGGGTTCAATCCCTAGTACCAAAAATAAATAAATAAATATTAAAAGCTGGTGAATTTGGACTGAGGCTATAGTTTAGGGGCAGAGCACTTGCCTAGCACATGTGAGGCCCTGGTTCAATCCTTAGCACCACATTAAAAACAAATGAACAAAAGAAAGTTTTGAAACATTTTTCTAAAGTAGTGAATTTTTAATTTTTTTTAGTTATAGTTGAACACAATACCTTTATTTTGTTGATTTATTTTTATGTGATGCTCAGGATTGAACCCAGCACCTCGCACATGCTAGACAACTGCTCTACCATTGAGCCACCACCGCAGCCCCCAAACTGGCGCATTTTATGTCATGTATTTACCGTAATAAAAGTCTGGGTTGGGGGTTAGCACCGTGGTACAACAGTTCCCAGCATGCACAGGCCCTGGGTTTGATCCCCAACACCAGAGACAGGAAAAAGTCTGTCTCTCCCCCTTTAATGTGGTTATGTTTGCCGGGGAGAACTAGTCTGGCCAGGTGTGGTGGCACATGCCTATAATCCCAGTGGTTCAGGAGGCTGAGGCAGGAGAATCATAGGTTCAAAGCCAGCCTCATCAACTTAGCTAGGTCCTGAGCAGCTTGGCGAGACCCTGTCTCTAAATAAAATATAAAAAGTGCTAGGGATGTGGCTCAGGGCTTAAGCACCACTGGGTTCAATACCTGATACCAAAGGGGGAAAAAAAAAAGAACCAGTCTGTTCATTTCTGTCTTCAATTTAGTGTTCCTCCCGCCCCACCATCCTTGTTGATTCACTTTTATTGAATCTATAAAATAACAGGACTCCAAAAGTTACAACTGTCTAAAATGTTAGACTCAGAGAAGTGTCATTTCCTCCCCATCCGGGTGTCTCAATCCCACCCACCCCAACCCAAAGGTAACCAATTTCACTTGTTTGTCTTGTGCTTTTCTAACAATGATAAACAGGTAAATGAATATTTACACTCCCTTTTTTTTCTCACATAAAAGGCAACATCCTACACATTTTCTGCACCAAGCTCCTTTCCTTGTTCTGGAAGTCCCCCCTCACACAGACTCTTCATTCTTTCTGACAGCTTATGGTACTCCGTGTGGCTTTGATATGGTACACATCATCACGCTCTGTTCTGTGAGCATTTAGCTCCTCTCCAATTCTGCAGCTAAAATAATTGTATACTGAATAATCCTGCTCACGTACTTTCATATTGGTGGCATGGCTTCAGGGTAGATTGCTAGAAGTGGGGTTGCTGCATACATCCTAGTTCCCCAAGTTCTCGCCAGGTTCATCCAGCAATGTGTGGAGGACCGCTGCCCCTCAGCCTTCCCCAAAGAGACCATTGTCCAAATTGGGATTTTTGCTAATCTGAGAAATGGCATCTCCGTGTGGCAACGATTTATATCTCTCCTATGATGAGAGGAGGTGACCATCCCTTTACAGACACAAAGGCACCGTTGAAACTCTTCCATTCCTAGCTGTCATTCCCCTTCCCCTCAGGTTTCTGATCTTCCCCTGCAATACTAGAGTTCTTCACACATGAGAAATATGTGTGTAGGCTGCGACACATCCTGGTTTTTCACTGTCCCCCGACTTTGTGTGTGATGTTCTCTGCCTTACAAGTGTCCTTTGTCACCTCTGCAGTTTAACTTACCAAACTTCTCTTGTTGCAAGAACATCCCCAAACCCAGGTCATGGAGAGACTCATGCCTAACACTTGTTGAGATTCACCGTTCACATTCAGGTCTCTGATCTGAGTCCTTTCCTGGGTGTGAGATAAGGCCCAGATCCAATTTTTTAAAATTCTTACTTGTTATGTGTGACAGTAAAATGCGTTACGATTCATATTACACATATAGAGCACAAATTTTCGTATCTCTGGTTGTACACATCATTTGTGACTTCATACATGTACTTAGGGTAATGATGTCCATTTCATTTCACTGTCTTTGCTACCACGCCGCTTCCATTCCCCTCCCTCCCCTTTGCTCTATCTAGAATTCATCTAATCCACCCGTGTTCCTCTCCAACCCCACTATGAATCAGCCTCCTTATATCAGAGAAAAACATTTGGCATTTGTTTTTTGGGGATTTGCTAACTTCACTTAGCGTTATATTCTCCAACTCCATCCATTTACCTGCAAATGCCATGATTTTATTCTCTTTTAATGCTGAGTAATATTCCATTGTGTATATATATACCACATTTTCATTATTCATTCATCAATTGAAGGGCATCTAGTTTGGCTCCACAATTTAGCTATTGTGAATTGTGCTGCTATAAACATTGATGTGGCTGTGTCCCTGCAGTATGCTGTTTTTAAGTCCTTTGGGTAAAGACCAAGGAGAGGGATAGCTGGGTCAAATGGTGGTTCCATTCCCAGATTTCCAAGGAATCTCAATACTGCTTTCTATATTGGCTGCACCAATTTGCAGTCCCACCAGCAATGTATGAGTGTGCCTTTTCCTCCACATCCTCACTAACACTTATTGTTGTTTGTATTCTTTTTTTTAATATTTACTTTTTAGTTTTCAGTGGACACAATATCTTTATTTTTTATGTGGTGCTGAGGATTGAATCCAGTGTCCCACGCATGCCAGGCAAGCACGTTACCGCTTGAGCCACCTCCTCAGCCCTGTTGTTTGTATTCTTAATAGCTGCCATTCTGGGGCTGAGAACATAGCTCAGTTGGTAGAGTGCTTACCTCACATGCACAAGGCCCTGGGTTCAATCCCCAGAGCCACCAAAAAAAAAAAAAAACTGCCATTCTGACTGGAGTGAGATAAAATCTTAGAGCAGTTTTGATTTGCATTTCTCTAATTGTTAGAGATGATGAACATTTTTCATATATTTGTTGATTGATTGTATATCATCTTCTGAAAAATGTCTGTTAAGTTTCTTGGCCCATTTATTGATTGGGTTATTTGGGGGTTTTTTTTGGTGTTAAAATTTTTAAGTCCTTTATATATCCTAGAGATTAGTGCTCTGTCTGATGTGCATGTGGCAAAAATTTGCTTCCTAAGTGTAGACTCTATATTCACCTCACTGATTGTTTCTTTTGCGGAGAAGAAGCTTTTTAGTTTTAATCCATCCCATTTATTGATTCTTGGTTTTAATTCTTCTGCTATAGGACTCTTATAAAGGAAGTCAAGACCTAATCCAACATGATGAAGATTAGGGCCTACTTTTTCTTCTATTAGGTGCAGGGTCTCTGGTTTAATTCCTAGGTCCTTGATCCACTTGAGTTGAGTTTTGTGCATGGTGAGAGATAGGTGTTTAATCTCATTTTGTTGCATATGGATTTCCAGTTTTCCCAGCACCATTTGTTGAAGAGGCTATCTTTTCTTCAATGTATGTTTTTGGAGCCTTTGTCTAATATAAGATAATTGTAGCTATGTGGGTTAGTCTCTGTGTCCTCTATTCTATACCATTGGTCTACTAGTCTATTTTGGTGCCAATACCATGCTGTTTCATTACTATTGTTCTGTAGTATAGTTTAAGGTCTGGTATAGTGATGCCACCTATTTCACTCTTCTTGCTAAGGATTGCTTTAGCTATTCTGGGTCTCTTATTTTTCCAGATGAATTTCATGACTTCTTTTTCTATTTCTATGAGGAATGCCATCAGGATTTTGATTGGAATTGCATTAAATCTGTACAGTGCTTTGGTAGTGTGGTCATTTTGACAATATTAATTCTGCCTATCCAAGAGCAATGTAGATCTTTCCATCTTCTAAGGTCTTCTTAAATTTCTTTCTTTAGTGTTCTGTAGTTTTCATTGTAGAGGTCTTTCACCTCTTTTGTTGATTCCCAAGGGTTTTTTTTTTTTTTTTGAGGCTATTGTAAATGGGGTAGTTTTCCTCATTTCCCTCTCAGAGGATTTGTCCCTGATATACAGAAATGCCTTTGATTTATGGATGTTGATTTTATATCCTGCTACTTTGCTGAATTCATTTATTAGTTCTAGAAGTTTTCTGGTGGAATTTTTTGTGTCTTTTAGGTATAGAATCATATCATCAGAAAATAGTGCTAATTTGAGTTCTTCTTTTCCTATCCATATCCCTTTGATTTCTTTCGTCTAATTGCTCTGGCCAGTGTTTCAAGAACTATGTTAAATAGAAGTGGTTGAAAGAGGGCATCCCTGTCTTGTTCCAGTTTTTAGAGGGAATGCTTTCAATTTTTCTCCATTTAGAATGATGTTGGCCTGGGGTTTAGCATAGATAGCTTCTAGGATGTTGAGATATGTTCCTGTTATTCCTAGTTTTTCTAGTGTTTTGAACATGAAGGGGTGCTGTATTTTGTTGAAAGCTTTTTCTGCATCTACTGAGATGATCATATGATATTTA